GCTGAACCAAAAAATCAGTTATTCAGAGCTCATGCTGGCACATGGATGATGCATAGTGGGAAAGTTGCCACTGTCGGTGTTGTGCTGCTTGTGTACAAAGAGTACTTTAGGGCTGTCAATCTGATTTCTTTCCTGAGTGCCAGTTCACTAAGGAGAAAAATGTATGGTGACAGTCAGAACATGCTTTCATGAAAGCATGAAAACTATGGTATATGGTGTAGCACAGAGCAAATGACGCTGTTTTCTGTTTTGCAGCTTCTGTTTTACATTCAGGACAGTGATGATGTTTATGGCCTAATAAAATTTTATCCTTTGGAGAACCAGAAGATTGAAAGTAATCCAACGGGACGCTTTTTATCCTTGAGTTTTGCAAGAGAGAGAGGAACGGTTGGAGATGTGCAGCTGGTTTATACTGCACTGTATATTCCAGCTGGAGCTCTGAGTCCTGAGAGAGCGAAAGACGGCATTCTAAATACGTCTAGAAGAAGCATTCTCATGTTTCCAGAAGGAAAAACACAAGATACTTTAAATATACCGATAAGAAATGATGCATTCCTTCAAAATGGTGGTCATTTCCTTGTTCAGGTATCTCAGTTGTGTATTGGGGTGGTTTTTTAGCCTGTGTAATATAAAGAATATAATTTAGTAGTGACTCCTTCCCTTTTAATTTAATTAAAATGATCCTACCTGTTAAAAAGAAAAAAAAAAAAAACAACCAAAAAAACAACTGATTAGCTCTGTAGCTATGACGACTGTTATTTAGAGACAGCTTTCATAAATATGCCATAAATAGCTTTATTCCTAGTCATTATTTACTAATTACACATTTTGGAAAAAATAGACTTGTAACAGGATTCAGGTGTTCACCATGGAATTTAACAAAAGGAAACCAATGTTGCAGAAGTTAGTTAACTTGTGATGTATGTTTCTCTGTCTATCCCTTGGCTTTCAATTTAACCAAATTAAGGTTCTTAAAATTAAATTACAGAAGCATGACAAATTTTAGAAATTACAAGCGAGTAAATAAAAAAGTAAAAACAGTCAAACATATATTACATTTCATTTACGTATAAATTTGGCCAGAGAACTTGAAAAGTATTTTCCAGTTTTCCCTGTATATGCCCTTTTGGGTTTTTTCCTCTTTTTTTCTACCTGAATTTGTAAGAAGGGAACTTATGTCATCGCTAATTAAAATTGGCTGGAAAAATTTACCAATACTATGTTTGTGACAGAAAACTGGATTTTCAGCAAAAACATTTAAAGACAGACTTTCAGCTTTCCAATGAAGGCTTGCGTTTTTCACTGGAGAAAACCAAGTTTACTTACATTTTATCAAGTTGTTGTTCAGAATACTGTTGTGAGAGATCCTGGGCATTGTTGTAAGTGTTATACTTATTTTCTCATCTGCAATTATGACTACCCCATAATCTCTATTTGCTATGATTAAGTATTACCACTCTGGTCATCTGGAATGATGGGCCCAGGCAGTGATCTTGATACACAGACAAAGGAATTACTTGGTGCATCCAAAGCACAAATCACAGAGGCATTTCTTAGTTCCTTTCAATCTTTTCAGATGTCTTTAGAGTTTTCAAATGAAGATGTTGATGTTAAATCCATGGATTTAAAATTTGCTAGGTTTTGTCTTATGGTCTACCAAAGATGTTTTAGTTAGTTCTGGGACCCTGAAAAATTTTCTTCCGTCTACATCCTTCTTCCCAAATTTTCTTAAAAAAAAAAAAAAGAGAGAGAGAAAAAAAGTTATTTGCAGAATTATATTATTGTTTTACAAGTACATAGGTTTTTTTTTTGCTTTCACAGTTAGATAGGGAATTGCATTCTGGAATACTACATTATAAATAACGTTGCAGTGTGGACTCTGGACAAGACACACATACAAGTATTTCGGAATGCAGGCACTTTGACTGGCTTTTCAAACTACGGATTCCAGGGAGGTGGCGGGGGGCGGGGGGGGGAATGTTCTGTACTTTCTCCATGAACCATAAAAATCTTTTTGTTTGAATAAACAAAATGAGAGGGGCTTTTCAGCACAAATAATTCATTTAGAAACTCATAGAGAAGGAAGAAAAATAGCCCTATTTATCACTATGACAATCCTTCTACATCGTGAATAAATGATAATCTCAGCAAACATGTTTAGAATGAGAAGATTACAGAGTTTGTTCTAGGCATAATAAAGGATCAACTCAGGAATCGGGGAGGAGGGATGGAGGAGGAAATGAAGCTTAAACACAACTAGAGAATGGATAGAGGAACTGGAAAAGTGAGATTAACATTCTTCAGTGACATCTTCAATTAAATAACTACTGTAGCCTGAGGCGCAGTTTTCGGTATGGACAGGAAGATTAACTAATTTAATAAAATACTCATCGTTATTATTCAATTCACAATGCATTCTTTCTTCCTGATGAGCTGATTTGCTCTAAAAGGAAACACTGAACTAAAAAAAGATTTCTTGGTGTTTCATTAATTATTACTTTGATCTCAAAGTCACTATCCAGGATCAGAAGCCCTTAACAAAGTGGATTGTTTCAGCTATGTAGTATTTCAGAAGCTTTACTGAGCTAACCACCACACCGTCGTCCACGTGCATACTGGTAACTGCAGGATCAGGGCTTACGCTAAAGGAATCTTAGAAAACAAGTGAAGCAAAGAGTCTCAGCAGCTGTTCCTCAGAGTCCCAGTAACTAACTGGTATGGTTGAGAATCAATTACTGCACACAGTGTTTTACAGCATTTGTAAAACAGTTCCGTCTATCATCACATAAAATGTGCATGAATATTTTTGTGTGTTACTCAGGCAACGGTGGAAAAAAGCATGATACAGCCCAAGTATTTCGTATAGATTGGTTTTAAGAATTGAAGGACTTTTGAAAACGTCAGTTGAAATGGTGATTGATGATCACTATATGGATTTAAATAAGGCCACTTTCCCCTCCTCCAGTAAAACCTTACTATATGATAACATCTGGTAATTCCAAGCAAAAAGCATCCTTGTGGGGGTTAAGAGGTGGTTGGCCCCAGTGAAATGTTTGCAGAAGCTTATGCAAATCAGTTATAGAAACACTTATTACAATAATGGATGTAGACAGAATCACATGGTATAAATTATATTTGAAAGAAATAGTTAAACAAGCAAGTCCTACTCTCCTTTCCGTGTCAGTACCACTGCTAGGTTTAGTGGGCGATACGTCCCATTCAAAGAAAGGGTAAAATTTTTCTATTTCTCTTGGTATCAATAAACCATCAGAAACATGGTAGCACAAGAGGGGACTACAGTTTTGAAATACTGTACTGATTTTCAAAACTGAGTGCAACTCTAATTATTAGTTATTATAAATAGAGAAGTCCTTAAAGTTGTATGAGAGGGGAAAGAAGAATGAATCATTCTTTGGCTTCATCAGAGGCTCTAAATCTTACGGTTCCAGTGGCTTCAGCAGATCTTTATCAATGCATGGCAGAAAAAATGAAGTTGGGAAAATAGCTTGGGCCACTTGTCAAGTCAATACTGTTATTCATAGGTCTAGTAATGAACTGGCTGATCTAGAAGGATCATTCTCCCCCTGCATACGCTTAGTTGTGTACATGAATATGATTTGTCTAAGACATGTCCTGTTGTGCTGGCAAAGCCCAGTGGTGTCCACTTCATTTCACTGACACCTACTTACACAGTCTTGTAACAGCAGTGTTGCTTGTAAGAGAAATTTGTTCTGGAGATGTTTTGCTCCCTGCGTATGAAACTGATTCTGAAATGTCAGAAGTGTTCTGTCTCGGTACTAAGGCTTCTTGTTTCTCACTTTTGCCTGACATTTTCCTACAGCTGGAAAAAGTTGAGCTGGTGAATAGAATTCCTCTAGTCCCACCTGTGAGTCCTAGATTAAGTGAGATTCGAAATATTTCTCTGAGGATTACTCCGGATATTGCAAATGGAGAAATAGGCTTTACTAGCAGTCTTCCACTTATTCTTTCTGAGCCAGAAGATTCCCTTGCTACAGTGGTAAGTAAACCTTTTTATATTGTCCCTTAGTATAGAAAATTTGTTTGGAGAAAGCAAAGTTTGCTATATTCAGTGTAATGTTTGAAATTTAATGCGAGGAATATCCTTCCCCTAAATTCTGCCTGATCTCAAATATTCCCTTACTTAAAAAAAAAAAAAAAAAAAAAAGGCAAAAAAGTGCTTGAAAAACTAAGGTCTGAAATAATGCATGAGTCATTATCAGAAAAGTGAGATTGATCTTTGCTTCCTCTATAACCATCCAAAACCAGTTAGCTCTTGATGCTCACACAGAACAAAAGATGCTGCACACAGTTTTAATCTCTCTCACGAACTGCAAAGGTAGTAACATAAAAAAGGACTGATACCAGTTGTAGATTTCATGGAAATGTCTGTGTATCTTACAGTTGACTGACTTACGTGTGAACACATTTTTTGGCTCGCTGAGCATGTTTTCCAACAATTGTGCTTTTTAGGTTTCTGAGAACCCAAAGAAGCATTTTCAAAAGCATTGCCATCCAAGTGCCTTGGTCCCACTTAAAGAAACCCTTTTAAAAATGTTTTTTCATACATACGTACTTTTTTTCCCATGTTGTCTTCACTGAAATCTTCCCACAAATCCTGAATCAGATAACTTATTTCTCATTCTCAGACTAAAACTGCTAATTACCTGAAGCAGAGTATCATTGCACTGTACTATAATAACCAGAGTAAAATTGCAGTAGTTATATTTAAAATCTAGGTTGTGTCTTAAAGAGGTGGGCACTGATTAAGTCAGTCATACGAGGCTTTTTGTGTTTACGATTGCTTAGTGATTTGTGATATAAATAATGTAATCTCCACTGTCTAAGTGTGTAACTGATAAAGGATTAAAAGGATAACATTCAGTATATATTTTCATTGATACACCATCTTTGATTGCATATCATATACATAGGTATGGTAAAAAACCAAGCTTAACGTTTTGAGGCTCATATTCAAATAGTAATTTGCAAGGAAGTAGTTGTTCTTGCATCTTGTCATGACGGATTCATGTGTTTCATAGGTTTCCATCGCATTGCATCGAGATGGGACTGATGGTCAAGCAACTGTATTTTGGAGTTTGAAACCCTCAGGTGTCAATCAAAAGGCAGTAACACATGATGATATAAGTCCTTTTAATGGCTCTGTTCTTTTCTTGTCTGGACAAAGTGATACTACAATCAACATCACTATTAAAGCTGATGATATACCTGAAATGAATGAAACTGTGTTATTAACTTTAGACAGGTATTGTACCCTAATCTCTATTCATATGTGTCAGTTGTTAATACTCAATTTATGTATAACAAATTAGCACAGTATTAATTAGGAGGTGTTGCCAGTATTGTGTTGATAAGTGCCTGAAGGGATGTTCAGACTACGTATGGATTCTTCTTTGACTGGAGATCAATGTAAGAAATTCTGTTGTATTTATTATCTAATGACTTGATTTTGTTTATAAAATATAAATGAAAGTTGAAAATAATGTATGTTATTTAGAACATTCTTTCAGCTTTGATCTTTAATTGTAGCTCTTGGTTATAACATATCTTTTCAGAAAAGTAATTTTTAGTGAGGCAATCGGGAAAACTATAAAATACATAACTGTGTTTCTGTCAGGAAAAGGTTCACAGCTAGGGTGTCGTTGCAGAATTACATCAGCTTTTTATTTGTTTGATCTGTGTGTTCAGTATTGCGTGCTCTTGATAATTAGATCTTCCATCACAACTCCTGTCTTCCAAAGTAGCCCACAGTGACCATTACCACACTCTTTGGCTACAAAGAGAGCCAGAGTATTTCTGAAGCACAATATTAGACTCCCATCTGCGTGAGATCATGATTATAGGGTAATTAAGGCTGTGAGGGACCTCAGGAGATGCTGTTATCTGCCTGTGAGCACTGCTCAGGATATGTAAATCAGTTCATATCCAGGAATGTATTCCGTCTTTGATTTACTAACAGAGGAAGATCTTGACTATGTCTTCTGTCCTACTTCCAACAACTCAATTGTATATATAGTTCAGAAATACCACCACTTTTTCTACTACCTCCTATTAGTCTAAGGTGTATTTCTCCACTTTTTCTGGAAACATAGTAATACAGGTCTGCCAGCAGCAATGTCCACATTGAACATCTACTACTTACACAGTCCTTACCTTATGCAGAAGTATTTTTGTCCTGTATACAAAGTACAAACTAATTCCTTGGAGCTTCAACACCAGATACCCATGGTGTTTACACACTAGCAAATGAGCAACCAGCTCCTCAAGCTGTTGCTGATCCTGTTTCAGAAAGTCTGTTTTTTGAGCATTATTCTATCACACAGGAAAGAGGTTATTCCATTGCAGGATTAGCCTGCTTCTGTAAAAGCTGGGTGATGGATGTATCTAGTGGAGAATGAGTTATGTCGTTCTACCTTGGCTAGCTAGTATGTTGGAGAGGCAATCCTGTTCAAGACAGCAACAAATGGAGACTATTGCAAGCAGTTCTCTGCTTTCCTTCCTGTGGATGAAACTGATTTGTCTCGAGGAATTCATTAGAGTCTCTGGCACAAAGGGTGAAACTAAGGTTAGAAATGATGATGGAAGTTGTGAAGCAGTTGTGTAAGGTGGCCAAAAAATGGGGGTGGAAGTGTAGGAAATTAATAAGTAGACAGAGGAAGTGGACAGCCTGAGAGGTTAACTTTTTACGTTCTGACAGCTCTGCAGATGTGTATAACTACAGCTTTCTGCCACTTACTCTGAGTAGTAACCCTAGGCTGTGCCTTGAAAGTGATGGCTGCAGTGAGGATTGAACGGGCAGTGGAACAGACCTAACCACTGTTCTGCTCTTACCATGTGTGGTGGGAGTAGCGGGGTCCGCTGATCGTGAAGTGGCTGGTAAAAAGTGTGCCAGCAGCATGTGGCTTTCCCACAGTTGGCAAGGTCAGAGAGTGAAGCAAGAACAGGTGGTCTGACCTGAAAAAAGACGTAAACAAGGAGAAAAAATCTGAACTTTCCTCCAGACCTGGATAGTGTCCCTCAAGGCTATGAGTGAAGTTTGGCAACTTTATCTCTGGCAGAAGCCAAGAATGAAATGACTGCGAAGATCATCCTTTCAGTACTGCAGATGACTCTTCAAATCAGGGTTGAAGGGTACTGGAAGGGTTATGTGTGTAAGCTTGTGGTATTGCTTTCTGCATGGCTTGTATTTTCTGGATGAACAGAAGATTTCAGTTTCCAAGGCTGGCAGCCAGCACTTTCACAGCAGTAGTGAATTAGCATGAGGACAAAGATGCACTGTGCTGTGGATGTGCTTGTACTGTTCTATAAATTGTAGCGTAAGTCAGTAGCAAAATAGAGCATGTAAGAACTTCAGTGAAACTATAGACATAGAAATACGTTCATAAGCATTCCATTTATTGCAATTAGTAATAGCATGGAAAAAATAATAAAAATAATTAGTTCTAACAAGGATGTATTATTTACAACTCAGTGGTGTTGTTAAGACAGTTTACGTTTTAAACAAGCTTTAATTGCATGCATAACTATAAAAGAAACTTTCCCAGCCATTGAAAATAGTGTTTTCTTTCCTTGTTCTGTGGCCTCTGTCCATGGGCCGCAGGTATTAAAAATAACTCTGAATTATGTCCATAAAATGGAGGCCAGTGTGTACCACGGAGAATATGCTTCCAAAGAAGACAGATGAGTAATAAAGGAGCAAGACAGTCCTATACCTGCTGAAGCTTCTTCCTATTTTATTTTTTTAGGAGCAGCTTCAGGTTGACCGCCTGCCTATGTCTGAATAGACCTGAATTGAGACCAAACATAAGTAAAGCCAGATGTCTGTAGTGAAATGTGTATGAGAGAGGAAAGACCTAGGTCTTCTTGATGAATGTAGGTGGAACAGGCCATGGAAATTGTGTGTGTGCTTTGTGAAAGCATACATGCATACTAGGGCTGTTCATTTTACCTGGTAAGCATAAACAGAAATCAGTTTTGTAAAAATCTGAGTGTTGCTTTTTCCTTCTGCACAACGTATTCTCCTCCTGGCAGTTGGCATCCCCTCAGTAAGGATACACAGCTATCGCAATTTGGCAGTTGGCACAAGTGGAGGGCCAGGACTTCCAGGGCAGGCGTGTTGTATTTGCACTCTTAAGTGAATGATGCTGAGAGTGAGAACTTGTAGACTTTGGCATCTATGAACAGCAATATGCTGATAAATTGATTTTAATTTGTGAAAATGATAATCCATGAACAGATGACTGTTGAAATAGTCCTTACGATCAAATTTGTTTTGAGTCATGACTCATAATTTAGGCTGCCAGAACAGATTCATATACGTATCTTATGACATGATATGGGTAAATCTCGTTTACTATATATATATAATAAAGCAAAACTGAAGCAATATAACATGTTTTTTTTTGTAGTTCTAGTTAATTCTGTGATGTGATACAAGTTTCCACAGGCTGAAATTCTGTCTTGAGTAAATTCAGAAAATAGATTTTTAAAAAATTGCAAATGCAAAACATCGGTTTGACTCTTTCATTATGTTTCATTTAACATTTTTGTGCTTAAGAGATTATTTCATGACAAAAATTTAGCAAATCATAGAAGGCCCATCTAAAGCACTGCATACTGTTGATGGTCCTTAATGCAGGGCTGAAGTGATGTTTATACGTTGTGGGTTGCTGTCTGCACTGACACGCACAGAAACAGTAATATTCTGTTAAATGGAGTTGGGATTTTTTTCCTAGCTTGGTGATGTCCTGTGGCTAGTGTCTGTTTCAAAACCATATTTATCTTTATTACTATTAAGTAATACATGTGATGCTATAGGAACTATCTCTTTTAGTGTAAAACACTGGCTTTTTCTTCAAGGGTTTGGTCAGACTTCGTTTTGATGGGGAAAATGTTATTTGAAAATAGTAGTAGAACGTTGAAAAGAGTGCTACTGGACACCTGCTGCTAGGTTTTATTACTTTTCAATAATAATACCATATATCTCCTGCTATGAGTGACAACAATTAAAATAGCCTCAAAAATCAAATAATTTGTGGATTAAACCTGGAGAGAAAGTGTTCCCTTTGATGAGAAGCACTGTGGAATTTGTAATGTGGCAAATCCTACTTTAATACTGTTCTTTAAAGCTAGGTCCTGCCGCTAATTAAGTTGGTAGATAATCCTGAAAAAATTGGAGGGGTGAACACTGACTACAAACCTAGGAAGCAAACTTGAGTAACATTCCGAAGGCAAATTGAATGCACCTTTTCTGAAATACCCTGATAGAAAAGAAAGTTTTTTAGAAAAGTATGTTTTTAATAGTAACCGCAATACAGATTAACAGTTGAAATTAAGTTGCTCAGGTGCCTTTCAAAACACTCACTTTCTGCAGAAATTCCAGTTCTGGGTCCAAAACTCTCACCTTAGACCACATTGCATCTCTTAATAATTATTATTTTATTTACAGTGTCATTTAGCTCATAATAACACTGAAATTCACATTTTACATTAAACTCAGTCAAGAATCTTCTTTCTGATAGTTTGTAGTACTATGTGTTTCAGAAAGTGCAAGAAACATTTTGAAGCTTCTATTAGTTGTCCCAATTAATCTGTAGTTCTTGCTAAGGAATAATTAAGGTTCTTTTAAAGAAATAATTTCCCTAATGATGAGTCATTTCACATGAGTTTTGTCATGTGGAAAGTACTTTTTTTACAGCTGTTTCTTCACAGAAGACATGCAGTTTGAGATTGCATTTCTTACATTAGCATCATAAACATTGCCAGGGCTTATTCTCTGTGATAAAATGACACTTCATGTCCACAGCTGTTTTACAGAAAAAGTTCAGCTGAGGAGATAAAAATGCAAGTGGCTTTCCCAGTGGGAGGGATCACCGTCCTCCTGGTCAAGTGCTGTCCTGCGTAGTAGCTGGAGCTCCTTGTTATGGCTAAGCAACTGTGTACAAGGAACTGTTTTAACTTTTATCATTACTTCTGAGTTTTGGAAGTTCTGAATAGCCATTTTTGTTCCTTTTCCACGCTGCTGTCACAGGAGTTCCTGAAGTTTCACATGGTTTCACATACCACAAGGAGTGAAACAGGACTACACTGATCCTGTGCCCTCCGTAGCAGTTTGGACATCTTTACCCTGCGATGAAAGGACTGTACATGAAGAGTACTTTGTTCTTGTATGTTATCAGGGCACGTAGCAAGAGCTGATGGCTAGTGGCCTGGGGGCTCTGTGATGTGGTGGAGCCAAGAGTCCAGCCTGATAACGTGACTGGTTGGGCAGGGTCTGATCCCACCACACCCAGTGAGGGGGGAGAGCAGGTTGGAGCAGGTAACTGGGGGCAACCTGGAGTCCAGGGCATCAGGCAGGGTCATGGTGGTGGGGCAGGTCAAGCCAGGAACACACATCAGGTTTAAGCCAGATGATGGTCACCATGATCAGGAACAGCCTGGCGATCACCAGGCAGGTCCGCAATGAGAAGGCAAATCCAAAGTCGAGTCAGGAAGTGACCTAGTGGGTCCGGGTCTTGGGGTGGTATGAGAATTAATATGTGTGTACCTCAGAGTGTAGACACGAGGGATCCTATTGTGTACACCCTTTGTTCATGTTCATGTAACAGCAGCTCAGAGTTGGAAGCCTAAGCCTAGGTGCTTCTATTCCATTTTTGCATAGGCTATTTTATGGCTTTTTGAATAGTAACCAACATTTACTATGTCAGAGCAGTGACAGCAATCTGGCCAGTCATGCAGAGAAAACATAGTCTGATCAATCAATCAGTCAATCAATCAAGTGATCCTACTGTTGAAAATGGGACTTGGATGAAGAAACCTCCCAAACGATGGTTTCCTGTAGCAGTGGATGGGCTGAATCTGACTAGTTGCTTTCTGACCTGCAAGTTCTCTGGATTCTGGTCTGACTTACACTGTGACTGTTTTAAAGTGATAAAGTATCGCCAGTCTTCTCACCACTTTCAGAGAACACCTTGAGATGCTCAAGGTGCACACCTCATGGTGTGACCGTTTCATTTCTGCTGCCCTCTTTGGGTTTCTGCAGTGCTGCCATTGTGCATTACAACACTACTAGATTCTAGCACTACTCCTAATTTAACCTTAACAGTTTTTTTTGGTCTGAGCTGTGTTTGGACTCATGCAGTGTAACTCCGTGAAGCTGAAAGAGATTTATTTCTGGCATGACATTTCTGATGAATTCTTATGTCTTAACTACTTAAGCTTGTACATATGTATCAAAAACTCACTTGACGTAATGGTTCATTTGTTGTAAATTACATTACCAACAGCTTAGAGATATAATTAAATTTTAGCACTACCAAATCTGGAATTTTCTTCTTGATCTTTTCATTCTATTAATACTGTGATGGTTTTGGAGCACTTTTCTGTATATGTCTGAAGGAAGGGAGAATGCCTCAATATATAGTATTTAAAATCTAGCCTCACTGGGAATCAATGACAAATTTCTATTAATTCAGGTCTGCTGTTTGTAAGAATGTATCTGCAAATGTATTTGCTTTGTTTTCTCAGAATTTTGAGTGAATTCTTATCTTCATTCTTAATCTGTTCTTAATCTGAGTTCTCTTGAGGTTAGTGAAGTTAGAATTTCGCTTTGTAAATGCTGTAATAATCTGTTTATGGTATTTTGATAGGATACAGAGCTTTTATATTTAATATGTATTTATTTTAGATGAAGAAAGCCAAAATGCATGATTGCCATTGCATAATAATACTGTCATTTGACTTGATGTGATAGTTTTGTTATAAGTGCTTGGCCAAAACCGAACCAATTAAGAGATTAGCAATACGCTTTTCTTTTCTTAATTTTGTATTTTTGTTTGTTATATTTTTATATTTGTTATTTACTTTGGTAAACTGGTTAACTGAAAAACTGTCATAAATAAGATTTGATTTTGTGTCAAGGTAGTTTCTGATATGTAACTCTTGCAACTCCCACTGTGCTTGACTATTTTTACCATTACTTTGTCAGAGTGATGAAATGGCGTATCATGGAAGCATGTAGATTTTTTTCCTAAATTTAAGGGCTGTTCATAAATGTGGCTGCTGGAGCAGTTGTGAGCATGTACAGGGGTTGACAGCAATTGAGCTTTTGGAGGAGATATAGGTATACCATGAATGGGTCTTGGTATGCTGAATTGGTCATTTCTCCTAAGTGGGAGCTGCCCACTTGCTAGCATTTGTCAAGAGGAGAATGCCAAGCAAGTAGGGTTTCATAAAATGAATATTATAAGCCTTTGGAAAGGAAAAAGAAAGCTTTGTGTTGTTTTTTTAAAGTATTATTATTCTTTTCTAAGATTAGTACTTTACAGTACAGTACAGATTGAAATTCTAGCAAGTGGCACTTTCATCCTTCCCCCCTCCCCTTCCTTTCTTTCTTTCTTTCTGTGTTGACAGGGTAGAGACAGAAAGGTTTGTCGTGTACTTTGGGTAAGTGCAGTGAACTTCGGTTTGTCTTCTTGCACAGTGAGTGAGTGCTTTGGTTTACAAGTGTTTGGTTGGGACAGAGTCTGTCTTTATTGTTTCTTTTCCGCTTAGGAATCACATCTTCTGCATCTCTTCAGATAATGCATGCTTGCCCTTTGGTGTTTGTTTGAAGGCATGAGGTTCTGGTTTGAAGGCATTTCTTTGTTTAGAATCCGTGAATGGTAAAATTTATGAATGCATGGCTCAGTGTTTGATATTTGAGTGTTTGATGCAACGATGGATTAGTTGTTTTAAACTGCCTCAAATACGATTTGCCCCAATTAAGTGACTGAAATGACTAGAGTTATAGGGAAGTTTTCTGTGTGGTCAAAGATGAGTAGTTATCTTGGTTTTGAATAACCTACACTTATTTTATGTTAACAGAAGTTATTGTGTCTGCTGACATATTTTTTGATGTGCAATAAACTTGACATGTTACCGTATTAAATAGTTATTTCCAGTTTTGTATCTTGTATCCTTCCTGTGGACTTTGCTACAAGATACATTGCTATTTATTTTTTTTTGGGGGACGACGACACAATGTTCCAGTTATTTATGGAGTGTTTGTGGAAATAGTTTTGGAACTGATTTCAAATAATGGTTATAATAGATCACATTTCTTTCAACATGAAATAGTCTTTGATGAAGTCTGGATTGGAGTACAGTGAAACCATAAAAACATTTGCAATATCTTGGACCAAGTTTTCATTGAAATTTTCATCCAGGAAACATAGAAGATGTGCAGGAATCTGAATACCTAAAACACCGTGTAACAAGCCATGCCCAAACTGTCAGTATGAAGGTGCTTTCTTGGTGCATCCTTCTGTAGTACTTTTTCTGGCATTCTTAATGTAATGAACTTAAAACAATTAAAAAAATTAACACATCTGAGGAAATCAATGCAAGAAATATGCAAGGTTTCCTTCTCTCATCATATATGGCACGTTCGTGTCCGTGAGTAAGACCAAGACGGTGTAGCAGTAGCCCAGGGAGAGAAATGCTCCACCAAGAGGATCACTGATCATGCCTGCACCATTCACCATATGCTTTTAGGCAGCTGGTTTGTGAGTAAGGGAGGAGGAAGGTAATGAGTCTGAGCTACTGAGAGGAGGTCCAACACTTACTAGAGCCAGGCTGCGATCCTACAGGTAGTGTCCACATCTTACAGAAGGCAGGTTAACACGCAGGTGAGGATGAAATACACAATATCGACGGGAAAACCTCTTCCTCTTTCTTTCAACAGTAAACTTTGGAGAAGGGGTAAGAACGTGTGGTTGTCAATGTAATCTCTGTTCGAGTGGTTTTGGATTATCTTTTATGCTTTGATCCAAATGCAAAGTAATACTAAATGTAACTCTTAAGTATTTACCTTCACAATTCTCTTCCTGTGTGTATGCGTGACTAAAAAAACCCCAGAATCACCAACTATAAAAACTAATGAGAAAACAGTTACTTCAGAAACAAAGGGTTTTTTACAAATGGATAAGACATACTTACGTGTCATTTAAATTTATTTTCTTCTTTGCAGGTAATTGTTTGTTTCCATAATTTATTCCTAAACTTCATCAGTATTGTGATGTCCTTCGCACAGGTATGGATTTACTTGCCAAACAGAATTGTCACTCAAAAAACCCTCTTGCCTTCCTTTCTCAGGGTCAGCGTGGAAAATCAAATACTGAAATATGGGTTTACTACTTGTGAAATTATTATTTTGGAAAATGATGATCCCGGAGGAGTGTTTGAATTTTCTCCCTCTTCCAGAGGTCCCTACAGTATCAAGGTAGCTATCTGAGCAATTTCTCCTAATCATTATGGACAACTTAGTTTAAGCAGAGTTCTAGAAAAAAGCCGAATTTTCTTTTTTGCAGGAGGGGGAGTCTGTTGAACTGCAGATTGTTCGCAGCAGAGGAAGTCTTGTCAGGCAGTTTCTACGGTACACTGTAGAACCAAGAGACAATAATGAGTTTTATGGAAGCACAGGAATTCTGGAGTTTAAGCCTGGTGAAAGAGAGATCATAATTACTCTTCTGACAAGGATGGATGGGGTTCCAGAGGTAAAAATTAATATTTTTCACTCTTCAAATTGTCCTCACAGGCTTATTAGTTTGTCACTTATTACAATACAGGCATGTATATAGGAGCAGAACAAATGTGTAACGGCTTTTCTCCAGAACACCTTCCCAACCTCCAAACCAGGGATGCCTGGAATAATAGGTGGTCTTTGAGTTTATTAGTCCTCAGTGGATTTTTTTATGTAAATTGAAACAATTATGCTTTGAATCCATGTACATTTTTAGCATCCATGACATTCTGTAGTATGGAGTGCCATTGTTTAATTGAACTCTGTGTGAAGAACCACTTTTTTTTTTTCTTTTCTAGTAATAGTCTGCTAGTTTCACTCAGTGCTCCCCAGACTAGACTAATATTTGACGTATAGATACATAGATGCAGTATTTGTTTTAATGTTCCTTGGAGTGTTAACTGTGAGCTTTTTTCAAGAAATACACGAACTACAAAGTCCCATTAAAATAAAGCAAGCTGATACATTCTTTTTAAGTTAGTGTGCTGTCAATGGTTTTAAAATCTTTGCTTTCCCTGTTATAAAGCCAGAAACGTTAATAAATCTTACAGAAAAGAAAACTTAACTTCAGGGAGCATTACAAATATATTTGTACTAGAGAATTGATGAGATTCTAAGCTAAGTACACAAAATAAGTCTTCGCCTGTAATAATCCTAGATTTTTTGAGAACGGGGTCCTATCAGAGATAGAAATTTCAAATTACTTATTTGTTCCAATGGCAATGTACAAACACATTGTGAATGTAAAAAGGGTGTGTGATGTCCTTTTGTTTAAATTTTTATCCCTTTCTGCCTGGCTAGGGACTGTGGATGTTCGCCCATTTGTTTTGGATGTGAATGCTGAATACGTATTCTTGTTCTGACTGAATTTCCCTCTTCTAGCTGGATGAGATGTATTCTGTGGTACTCAGTGGCTACAGTGAAATGCCAGGCAAGTTGGGGAATGCCACAAGGGTCAATATAACCATTCTGAAGAACGATGATCCACATGGTGTCATTCAGTTTCTACCTGATGAGCTATCAGTAACAATAAAGGAAAGTAAAGGAGAAATCATCTACACTGGTAATTTTTTTTTATTTGAGTTACTGCTTTGGCTGCTGTCTGCCCCTGCAAGGCTCCTTTTCCCCATTTCACCTTTCTAGGACAATGTCTGACCCCAGGCTCCACTTGGGAGTTACCAGAGTGGTACAGTGCCAGCATGATGAGCAGTGGAGACTGAAGGGAAGGATGGGCCCGGAAAGCCAGAGAGATCAATCCAGCAAAAAAATGCCTGGAGAATATGCCAGGCAGGAGGGACGGAGTATTGATGTGTGTGCAAAGTGCAGCCTGGAGGTAGTAGCTCTGGTTGTGGAGCATGAAGAACAGGGTGCTGCGTGAGAGAAGAATAGAGCTAAATGTTCGTGTGGGTGACTTCAATTTATCTATCTCTATTCAATTATCAAGTATATTTACAGGCAAAAAATAACACATTTGAGCAAATTTGATGGTCTGTCTTTGTCCTTTCATGTAGCGCTCTCACGTATTATTAGTTTTATAAGAAGTGGGTTTGCTTATTATTTCCTTTCTTTTTTCTTTGTTTCAGCTTTGCTGGCCTTTTAATTTGTGTTGTTCTGAAGATGCTCACTGGCTGTATGTGTTTGCATTTTTTAGCTGCTTACAGAGTTGTAAGAAACCAGGGAAACTATGGCAATGTTAGTGTGTCTTGGATTGTTGACCCGGCATGTACTAATGACATCTATCCAGAACAAGGGACTATTTTCTTTGATAATCTGGAGTTTTCAAAAAATATCACCATTTACTCACTGCCAGATGAGGTAAACATTTTTACAGCGTTTTTGTGTGAGTATAGGGGATAAAGAGTAAGTGCAAAAGCATTACAATTTAAGGAGAAAGAAGAAATGTCTGGTTTTTAAGAGCCTGATAAGTATTTGTAGGAAAAATCAAAATGCTTAGGTAAAACTGAGATTACTTCAGCAAATCATAAAAGAATTCAAGAAGGTGTGCATACCTATAAATGAAAAAATTTAGAAGCTGAGAGTAGTTGAATGTGGTTAAATTACAGAGAAGTTCAATTGAATAAAACTCTTGTTTTGATAGCAGGAATCCTAGTTTTTATTTTTAATACTGATATATTTGAAGTAATGTAAGGAAGAATGACAATAATTAATAAATAAAGCTGTAAAAATAAATTACATGTATCAGACAGAAGTAGGAAACTGCAAGATAACTTTTGGGTCATCTGGATAACACTAGAGATGAGGGGACTTATTTACAAGCATTTTAGGCTGATGATTTCTGTATAACTGTATGAACTGTCATTTGTCTTCCCTCTTGACGCACTTAAGGATCAATAAATAAAAAACAACACTCAGACATCTCTGCTTGTTAACGCCCTCAGCTGTTCATTTTAATTTCTTCATTGTTTTGTATGCAAGAAATTAATTTTGTAATATTTTTTCTTTCAGGTACCTGAAGAGGTGGAAGTATTTATCATCAGCTTATTCAGTGCCACTGGTGGAGCAAGGCTGGGCAATATAACCAGTGCAATTTTACAAATTGCAAGGAATGATGATCCCATTTATTTTTCAGGTTAGATATTACTGTTTTTAAATGTAGAATACCTATACTGTCCCAAACAGATTTTATTGACAGACCAGATCATTGAGGAATCCCAATCCCAATACAGCTAGTATAAAAAGTTCTTTTTCGTTTATTTGTTTGCAGAATTTGTATTTGTTTCCTTCAGAACCTTCTATTATTTTATTGCATTATTCTCTTTGTTGATGCTGGAATTGGTTAGGTGGCCAGGTACAACAATTGTACCTGCAAGTATTTCCATGCCTTTACCACATATGCTTTCTGTTTCACCGAGAAGGATCCTCTGGGAGAGGATTAAGAAAATAGGCCACATGTGAGGAGCTCAGGCTTGAATTCAGGTAGATTTGTTGCTTCTGTATTTTCAGAACCGCTGACAGTGAGCGTTAAAGAAGGAGGTGTTGCAAACTTTACAGTCCTGAGGAATGGATCTGCTGACGTTGCTATTGCTGTCCAGTATATTACTGTTAATGGAGATGCAACAGCTGAAGAGGGAGACTTTGTTCCCAGTGGAAAGAGCAGTGTTATTTTATTTGATGTTGGAGAAAGAGAGCAGAACTTAACTGTGTATATTAATGATGATGATACCCCTGAAACTGATGAAACATTTTATATCTTCCTTTTGAATTCCACAGGTAAAACTAATGATTTGGTGTATGTTTATTAACTATCTTTTTGTCTTGCTGCAATTTTTTACCTGCTTGGTCTTATCATAAAGCAGTATATAAATGCCAAGTATTACGTGAATAAGGTTTGCTTCAACATTTCTAGACAATTACTGTACACAGTGTGTATGGATTTTCATCTTGAATTGTTCAACTGGAAATAAAAATCAAATGATACAGCTGAAACCTTTCCTGCAAAAACAACTGGAGTGAAAGTCTCTTTTCAAATGTAAATGTTCCAGATTAGGTGGGGTTTTGACTTGACTACAGAAACAGAAAGCTGAAGAATGTTAATACTACAACAGTCTTAAGGAAAGAGGGATTCCTTTATATTGTTTATCATGCTCCAGTGTATACTATGTAACTGCCTCATTTTTGTAAGAACAAACAGAACTGCCTTATTTTCGAGGAAAACCATGTAAATTGGTCTCTATTTTACTTTTGTAGTAGTGCAATGTATGCATACATTTTTTTCAGTCTGACATTATAATTTTACAAGGCTTAATTTACAGAAAATGTGTGTTAGAAATTACCCAGTGTACCACCCATAAAGAATGGGTTTATTATCTTAGAAATAACGTTGTCTTTTTTTTAAGTTATCATTTAGGAGGAAATGATACAAAATTATTCAGCACATTCCTATTTTTGAAATAGATGTCTTCTGGAATAAATCAGCACTGATATGTAATATTGATAAGAAAATACAAGTGAAATGTAAGAAATAGGTAACTTTTCCTGGTTCTACCTGCTTAATAAAGACCCACCCAATCCTAGCCCTGCCAAAATTCAAGATGTAGTGGGAAAGTAATTTACAATTGCGTTAGCAAATTTTAATGAGTTCCTGTCCTTCAGGTGTTATTATTCTGTAGCTGAGAGGTAATAACAGGCTGTGAATGCACTGTGTATCTTTGCAATGCAAACCGAAACGGAACTGAATAATCCATCAAAATGAGGACTAAGACTTGAGGGGGTGTAATTTAATAAAGCAAAGGAAAACTATCGCAATTAACCATCAGACTGAACCTTCACGTTAGATTGTGTGGTAAGCCACAAAGTAAAATACCTTCCAGGGATTCAATTCAAGATGAGGAAATATAAAATTATATTTCTTCATTTAGACTTGCATACTAAGAGTCTTAGCCCTCATTACAGTCTATAATGACTTGATTCACTGTCAGTGAGACTAAGAGGGTGCTTCAGGTCATGTGAAAGTGGACGCCCTGTGGCTGGTCTATGAATTGCTCACAAGGCTTCATTGATCTCGAACTGCATCTGCTGTAGACATTGGTAGCAGGCAGCTGGAGAATTACAGGGGAATTTCTAGCAATTATTTGAGTATAAGGTAGCTTATAGGTTTCCTGCGGTCAGTTGGCATTTACTTTGGTAGACAGGTCTTTTACAAAATATCAGCCTTATGGAAAAGATTGGACAAAGCCTTCTTCTCTCTTCTTAAATTTTCTCTTCAGTGATCTTTTTCGACTTTACTAACTTTCTTCAGGATCTACTGGTATTTTCTCTTACCACTCTATTGGGAATGTGTGATGTCTTTCCTCGCGGCACATTGGTCCTGCAAGAATGGATAGCTGCAGGCTCCCTTTGCCTCTAAAAGGAGGATCATATCATCCTGTAGCCTCTCTAGAACCACTTAGATTATAGAATATTTCTATGTGCATTCCTGAAAGTAAAAAAGAAGTTATTTTCTTTCTGTGATCTGTTACATTTATTGACCTTGATTGTTACATCCCTTTTGAAAATTATGTTGAACTGTTGTACCTCAGAGAAATTATAGATAGAGGTATATGAAGTTAAAGCGGCAAACACATTGTTTGCTTTGGAACAAAACCTAGTCTAACGCTCTTAAATGGGGTGAAAAATGGAGTGGGGTGAAAACATAATGTACATCTGTGGACGTAGGAATGGTGTTAGAATGTCCCTACACACAGAAATCCTACTAGCTTCCCTTCTGCTTCACAGGTATCTTACTTTTTTTCCTTTCAGGTGGGCTGTGATATGGGTGTGAATAAAATCTTAGACATTGTTCTCAGCTTCTATTTAGTTTAAGTGCAATATTTCTATTCTACGTCTAAAAGAGAGCTGCGATCTTTGAATACGTATCTTTTTCTTTTGACTTGACCAAGTGATCAAGCATGAAATACTACCTCTCGTACAATCCTTTCTGTTTCTCTTCTGAATCGTATCTTCTCTGGTCGTGTCACATGTATTTTTTCCTGCAAATCTTATATCTTGCTATCTGCCTGAGTTGCTACTTAAGTATTTTTACCCTGTTTTGCCTGATACTGAATTTCTCAAATAGTGGTTTTCACTGATTATTTTATCATTGTTCATTTCTTTGTTTCCATAAAAGCAGTTGGTGTGAGAAGCAAACACCTTTGGTTTTAGAGTTACATCCATTTCTGATTCCAGTTTTGATAAAATTCATCACTTTCTTTTTAGGAGATACTGTTGTCTTTGAGGCTGGAGTGGCTACGGTTATTATTGAAGCAAATGATGATCCTAATGGAATTTTCTCCTTAGAGACTTTAGAGAAGCCAGTGGAAGAAGGCAAAAGTAACAATTACATGTAAGTAACTTTAAAATAATACTTTTGCACTTTTTTGGAACTGATATATGTGGTACTTTATGGATAGTACTTTGATCTAATCCCATACAAGTTTGTGTTGATAAAAATGTAATAAAGGAGAATTTTGCATTAAATTATTTGTAAACATGTTGAAGACACCAACTGCTACTCCCAAGTAGACTGTGCATGTTACAATGTATACAGAAATTCATGTTAAAACATAAATAAATAAGACTACAGTGTTGTTTTGTTACATTTTCAGTAGATTTTAGATACAGAAGAATCTTGATGATTGAGCAGAATATAACCTGGGTTAAGAGAGAAGTAAAAAATTACATCTTTATTCTTGTGTTACACATCTGAAAAATGAAAATCCTTGAGAAAAGAGGCTATTAAATTTATTGTGTTCATTTATTTGGTTTTGTTATACTGATCTTTGGGTTTTGGTTTTTGTTGTCCTTTATAATCTTATTTGCAGGATAAAATTTTTGTATTTGATGGTGTGAAGAACGATGGTATGAACTAAACAGGTTTATATGCAGGTGCTTTATGGAAGCACATGATACCAAGATCACCAACATTTGAAGACCTTTCTCAGTCCTCATTGATGACATATATTTGCTAGGGAGCTGTCTCTTCCATCCCCTGACTGCTTTGGCTATTGTGTAGTACGTACAAAAGAGTCAAAGTAGCATATAGCCTAACTACTGAGAACACCTATGGCAGCACTGAGCTTTAAAGGGAGTAACTGAAGTTACTGCAACCGTGCTGCACAGCTGGGGTTACCAGAGCACGCTTGCTAACAGCAAAAAAAGAAAAGCCTTTGGAAGCAGAAACAACATAATTCTGGTGCAGTGCCTAAACTAGTTTTGCTGAACTGATTTTTCAGACTGATAAAATCTCTGTGTAAGGCATTGTATTTTAGCATCCAAACAGAAGCACACTTTTTGTATGTAAAGCATACTTCATTAATAAAGGTGTTATATACTTAAGGTTTTATTTAAAATGCCATTTGGAATTGGTGTTACCAGATAGCTCTATAAAAAAATAAAATCTTGTTTTCATTGACTATGTTCTTAATCTGGAATAACCACAGATTCCTGAAGGATATAGAACAAAACCCAAATTTAATACCAATGTAAGAAAGCGTTTAAGGAGGCTTGATGGCTAAAGGGAGAAATGTTTATGGTTAAATGTAGATGATTCTCTTTCCTGTGTAAGGGTGGCCAGGGATATAAATTTTTAATGTTAACTTGCTGAACTGTTATACATTCGTGTTTATTATTTACATAATAGAAGTGCAAGATAAACTGATGTTTCATTTAGCAGTACTACTTTGCATGGACCTACGTTAGTTATTTTTTTCTAAGGTACCTGTAGTATACCTGGGAGTAGAATTATACTGTGAAATTGGCAGGATTTGTATCATTGTTCATGGTTGTATTTATTGTTCATGGTTATTTAGGGTGTTGTATATTATTTTTCATAGTAAGGAAGATTAGTGTAGTAATTGTGTTTTCCCTTGCAAATGAATGCTGATGCGTACCTGCCAGGAGGTTCACTCTTTCTGTATCACTGAACAGGGTTTTGAGACATAGAGGACACTTTGGCAATGTCTCATTGACCTGGCAGCTGTTTGATAATGACTCTGCCCTGAGGCCAGGAGAAGAGTTCTATGAAACTTACGGGACTGTGTGCTTCATGGATGGTGAAGGATCAAAGCCAATAACACTCCATGCTATTTCAGATAGAATTCCTGAATTCAATGAATTTTACATTCTAAAGTTGGTGAATGCTTCAGGTATTGTCTTCCATATCACCATTACTTTTATATCTGGTAGAAAAGAATTATGTTTAATCGATCAAAAAGAAACCAACCCCGGACAGAGCTTTGACTTGAATCATGTGTTGATATCCTATACTTTTCTGGTAAGGCTTTAGGTTTTATTTTCCATTTAATCTTAATATAGATATATGAATGCAGTTATCCAGTTCCTGAATTACTGTTATACACATTTTGGTAATCTGACCTTTAAAAAGGATGCCTTCTGGTGATTTCAGAGCTATAGATCTTTGTGTATTTGAAGACAAAAACCTGTTACAGGCTATGCATGTCAACCATAATGGAGGTTTGTTGGTTTGCTTTTTTCTAGAGGAGGTAAATTACTTCGGGTTACTGCGTCATATGACTTAAATTACAACTGCTACAGGTCTGCTACTGATCAGACTTCTAAATTTCCTGGACTCATTCCACTTCAGTGCGATTTATGGTCTTCTGTGCCCAAATACAACTGAAAATCTGTATTGACCTTTCCTGTACCTGAAATCCGTATGCATGTATAGAAAATGTGCTACTTATAATAGGTAGATCACTGCACACTTTGAACATGGAGGCTCTGCATTCACGTCATGATCTTTGTGTCACGAACTCTTAACTGTGCAGAAATAGATGACTAATATCAGGACTTGGCAACAGTTTTAACACACAACTGATGACTGATTTTGCAAGGTGTCTCTGCTTCTGTTTCAGAGGCAATGGGCCAAATTTTGCCATTCCATAGTTCTGTAAATCTTGGAGTAATATGAGAACTGAATTTGGCCCCGCATTTATCAAATGAATCAAAGATAACGCGTCTCATTGAGTAACTCAGAAAAATTGGAGCTAATATTGTTTTAGCTGAAAGACAGCTGTGTGTTTTGCAATTGAAAAATAACTTACTGCTTTGTTCTCTATGAAAATTGTGTCACTATAATTTTTTAAAAACAATACAGTTAAATTATGTTATTTTTAAATTAGAGCATTTTCTAAGAGCTCAGAGGCTCTATAAATAAGATTTAATCCTTAATAGACTTTAAATAGTAACTTTTTTCAGACTGTGTTGTTTGAAACTGACCATTAACCTTTGCTCTAACTTTTATTATATAGGTGGGTTTCCTGGTCCTGGTGGTCAGTTATCTGAAACAAGCCTTGCTGTAACCGTGATGATTCCATTCAATGATGACCCTTTTGGAGTCTTTGTTATAGATCCAGAAAGCCAGGACAGAGAAATAGTGGAAGATGTTCTTTCTGAAGATGATCTTTCCTATATTACAGACTTCACCATCTGGAGACAACAAGGCACCTTTGGTGTTGTCCGGTTAGGTTGGGAAATACTGTCTAGTACCTTCCAAGCTGGATTGCCATCAATGGTAGACTTCTTGTTGCTGGGATCATTTCCAAGCTCAGTACAATCCCAACCTCACATGAGGCGCCATCACAGTGGAACCGATGCTTTGTATTTCAGTGGAAAAGAGGATGCATTTGGGATTATTGGTCCGGAATACCCCTACAGTGGAAATACTGCAGTAACCAATTTTACATTTTCAGCGTGGTTAATTCCTAATGTCAGTACTGATGGTTATATAGTTGAAAAGGATGATGATAATGGGACCTTATATTACGGCGTGAAAATCCAAACGAATTATTCTCATGTTTCTGTAGTGCTTCATTATAAAGCATTAGGATCCAATATGACATATATGGCTAAAGCAGCAGTTCTGAAATACCTGGATGAAAATACTTGGCTTCACCTTCTTATTACTCTGGATGACAGTATAATTGAATTTTACATGGATGGAATTCCAGTTCTGGGAGGAATGAAGAGCCTAAAAGGAGAAGCAATTGCTGATGGTGAGCCAATAACCTGCATTAGTTTTCTCCTTTTGTAAAGTTCTGAAATGTGTAGAAGAGTCTATCTCCTTGACAGGTGTATGCAAGATACTGAAATTATTATATCTGATTAGTTAATTGGAAAGAATGAATAGGAAATACTGAGAATTTTCAAAAAGCATATGGAAATTAGAAACCAGAAGAAGAAAAAAAAATCAGAAAGTCTGTTACAACAGATCTTAGCTTGTAATAATTCGAAAATAAATTAATAATTTAAAATTATATTTATATAAGTATGCCTGTCATGTATACATAGGGTTACATATGTTTGCAGTTAATGATTTCCATAGATTTACAGCACTTTAGCTGAGAAAGGACTTTTTTCCTCTCAGTTTCTGAAACAAAATGCAATAATAATTTTGTTTCTAGTTGTGTATTATATTACAACTAAGCCACTATTTTGTAAGCAACAGAATTTTTCAGGACATATATTTACTTAAGTATGTATTTACATGGTATATTAAAATTATGCCTATAAGTTTAATAGTGTTCCAAGGAACATTAGCATGGGTACTTCATTTTATCTAACTGGGTAGCCCCAGATTTGGTTTTAGTCCTAGGTAATCATTATGGACATTCACTCTGAATTAGCATAGCAGTGACCAGAGAAGTATCAGAGCAATTGCTTTATAAAATCAGATAATATGTGGTTGGAATTCATTTATATTTGGCATACAAATGAAATATATATATATGGACTTTATGTGCTCTTTCTTCTGCTGTTTTCCAGTCTTCCATGTGCATTTTTTTCTTGGAGATCATCTCCATCCTTTTTCCTTCCTTCCACTCACCCTCAGTTTCACATGCTTTCTTTGATGGGCATAAGCAGTGATTGATTATCAAATTATTGAATGCAGTCTCCTTTCTGTCATCAAAGGAGGAGAATTAAAAAAGATACAGTGGCGTTAAATGTGTATACATCTGCATGTATATATGTACACAAACACAGAATGAGAATAGAGAGGAGACTTCATTATAGTGTAGTATTTTATTTCTGCCTGTAGATTTCCAGTGGTTGAAGTCCGAGAAGTAACTTTGCCCTCTGTAACAAAGTAGTGCCTCTGCAATTAATAATTTCCATCAGACTTGCAGTACCGTAGCTGAGAAAGATATTTTTCCCCTCAGCTTCTAAAACAAAGATGTGTGAAATGCAATAATGCTTTTGTTGCTAGAAGGATATGTCTGAGTCGTTGTAAATTTTCTGTGTTAGCGGAGATGGCGTATGCTCTGTCTGGAGATACTACAAGTATAAGGTAAGGATTTAATTTCTCTCCGTTTTTTGTTGGATACTACACAGTGGTGAGCACAGTAGCCCAGTTTTTCTCACCATCTTCTGCCTTGTGCCCTGGGACCATTTTCCGCTGTGGTTGCTCATCTCTGGAGCTGAAACTCAGTGTCATATGGATGCCAGTACATGGAAGAGCACAGCTTCTTCCAAAAACAGAGAACTGGGGAGCTGGGGAGAAGAGAGGGCTATGTGCTTTAGCACAACAGGAATGACTATGAGCTCAGCATATTTGTGAAAAAGGCAGCTGTGCTCCGATGGTTTGCTGAGTGGGATAATTGTTTGGAGACAGGGAAATATTAATGCTGTTGTAACAGGCATTTGGATTTTGGTGTACATTTCTGAAGCCCATATTCCCAGCGCATTAGGGGAAAAGCGTGTTCAGAAGGGCTAATGCAGTGATGGTATCATCAGCACGGATCCACTGTCCTAGCAGAGAGAGACAAGAGGGGTCTGTTTAGCAAAACAAAAGCGGAGAGGGGTTGCAGTTGTGCTCTGCAAATCTCTAATGGAAAGAGAGAAGTTTCCAAGCCTCATTAAAATAAGGGATGGTGACAATGTGCTGGTGGAACTAGTAGGATGAAAAACCTGAACAGTCGAGGATGGAATTGGTTGACCTGTAGTGAGATGAGGCTCGAGGAACTTTCTGATTTTACAATTCAAGATCAGTATGATTCCTAATCTAGGGATAATAAACAGTTTACCATTGATTTTTAACAATTACAGATATTCATATGCAGATATATTGGTTTGAAGAAATTCAGTAACATGAGGAAAATTATAATTTCCTTCTCAGGTCCAGGAATAGTGAGAATTGGAGCAGGAATCAATGGCAGCAGTAGGTACACAGGGCTGATGCAGGATGTAAGGCTTTATGAGCGAAAATTGACACGAGCAGAGATCTATGAACTCCACGCAACTCCTGCGAAGAGTGATGTCCACCCTTTCTCTGGATATTTGGAGTACCGACAAGGAGAGACCAATAAGTCATTCATTGTGTCTGCAAAGGATGACAAAGAAGAAGAAGGAGAGGAGTTATTCATCCTAAAGCTCATTTCTGTGCGTGGTGGAGCTCGAATTTCACAAGACAACACCACAGCAAGATTAAGAATACAGAAAAGTGATAATGCTAATGGTTTATTTGGCTTCACTGGAGCATGCATTCCTGAGGTAAGGTGTTCATAAGGGAAATTACAGGGGAAGTTTTGGACAGAGAAAAATTAATGGCAAGACCAGTTGACCTGCATAGTGCCTTTATTTCACATTATTAGTTTCTGTAGTTATGCAACGCTTTTCTAGAATTTGGAAATGTGTAAGTTCTGTTAATACAGCCTCAGTCTCACTGGCATTTGCAATGTAATTTTTAAACACCGCCCCCCAATTATTTTGGTTAAGAGAATTGATTTTATTACATAAACTGAAGACTAAGGCTTAAATTTTTCTAGAAGAACATTTTATTCCTTGACTTCTGTCATGTATGAGAATGGGATATCAATAAAATTACAAGATTTAAATTTCTTTTTTGGAGAATGGATTATTACAAAGATTTTAATTTTATTTTTCTGTGTTATGTGATGTGTTTGAAAGAATTTTACTACAGGTCATGCAATGACAAGGTGTGATGTATTTTTCGACAATCATTTGCAGACATAACTTATAAGGTATAAATTGCATATGTCTGATGTGAATTTGGTTAATACAGGCTGTGAGTTGTTTTTTTTTAAAAACATGAAATTGTTCTTCGGTGGTAGCCACCATATATGCAATATATAAACTTTCTACTTTGGGGGAGAAGATTGAAATAGACATAAGTAATTTCTAATTCTTTAATCAATTATGAGGGAGAAGGACATGATACCTGTTTCTGTTGGTATTGGATTATTTTGGAAAACACATTTCAGCATACTTTCCAATTTGGGAACTCTCATGACATTTTAATTACGTTCTTTCTAGCTGAAGTGCTTATGATGTGTTTGAACCATCTTGCCCGAGTGATACTGGTTTTCGGTTTGGTTCAGTTTGCTTTCTTATGTGCTTACCGTATGCTATGATAATAGATTCCTTCAGTTTCAAATGCCACTAATAACACTGTGATGCCACAGATCATCAACCAATCATGAAGCAAAATTAAAAATGCATGTGGCATGTTAATTGTTTTGCATTAATCTTAGGTCCGTTTCACCAGGGCAGTATTGGAGGTCTCAGTGATGATTCAGATACACAGCATTGTTTTATTAGTAGTTTAATTGCTTTATGTGCATGTCTGTCTGCTAGGCAGCTGAAGGCAATGCAGTATCTGCACTGTGTTATACAGCAGCTCTAGATTTATCTAATGCCTAAGATAGCTTTAGCCTTTCTGGTTATTTAAAAAAAAAAATAAATTTTCTATTTTAGTTCTGTGATCATAATTTTGTAAAATATATGGTCAGAATCAATACCTACTTTGTTCCAAATATGTGAAATTGTTGCTGGTGAAGACATGTTCTCTGTGAAGACAGTATTGTAAAGAGGACTGTAGCACAGAATATTTTTCAGATTTTTTCCTGAATAGTGTAGTTTAATTTTAATATATCTATTTTTTTTCCGTAATGTTTCTAGTTGGGGAAAGGGGGAATCAAAATCTTTCTTTAAATTATTGCTGGTGAAAATTAGAATAATTGGCACTAATATCAAACAATAGTTTCAGTTACTTTTGACATGTATATTTCAATTATATTGATTCAGTCTTTGACATGTAGTTTGGGGGAAGAGATTGTGTCCAAAACAAACAACAGGGTACAGTTATTGGCTTACATTTATAGCCCTCAGGGAGATACTAGAAGCTGTTGCAAATTCCACTAAGGTTGTTCTGACCACCATCAAGTTCAGTTTCAGCTTCCTGCAACTCCAAATGTCCTGCAAGTACCATGACAGCAATTTTGGACCTGAACATTTGACTAACGTTAAAGAATTCCATGTTCAGCATTTGCTGCCTTGATTTGCTTTGACAATAACAAACATTTCAATTTCTTGCTTTCTTCCAGACTGCCGATGAGGGTTCCACTATATCCTGTGTTGTGGAGCGTACAAGAGGAGCCCTCGACTATGTGTACATAAATTACATTATCTCACAGGTTGATTCCACTGGCATTAATTACTCTGTTACCGATTTTTCTAACAGCACTGGCACTATCACATTCCTTCCTTGGCAGAGATCAGAGGTAAACCCTACCTTCCTATTAACTATTCATCCTGTCCTTTGCAAACCTGCTGGAAAATACCTTCCGAGGGTGCTTGACTGGTGCTCATACGAGAGCGCGTTTTCTTCACATGGCTTTTGTTATATTTCACAGGGTTTTTTGCATCCCTGACAACTATGAAGTGATACGATAGATGCTCATAGATCTGTGTGTATGTCAGTTCAAGGGTCACCATGTGTGCATGTATGTTTGAATGCACATCATACATTTGATAGGTTACATATATGTATATATAGAAAATGTTAACTAGATTTATGTATATGATGTATATGTATACTTGAAGTGGAGATGGTTGAAATAATGGATCCAGCTGCTTTTGAAATAGGAAGATGATCAGGTCTTGCTCTGAGTTTTCTAGCTCAGATTTATTTCCGCATCCATTAAGTGGACAGCAATAAAATTCACTGCTGTGATCACGTGTCTTGCAACCACTCGTGGCCATGTTCTGTCCCTTTTGCTTAATCTGTTTTCTATT